ATTTCTTTGTTAAACCACTTCTTGTCCAAAGTTAAGATGAAATACACACATTTTAATCATCAAAACGGTGAAAATGTCAAGTGTATTGCATAAACAAACTTGTACTGTGGTCCAAAAATACTCTTAGCACATGAAAATGATACTGTATCACCAAATTTAGTATAACAATATCGATATTTTGATATTTTTACACACCCATATTTAAAAGTATTAGTACCAAAACCATATTCACCCAGGTATCTTTGCTCGTCTGTCAGATTATGAACTTGACAACTTGATGCTTTTAAAGATGCACTGTGTAACTTTTCTAGTGGAGCGTCCATCACGTGCTTGTTATTACTCTGCCTGGAATGTTCCACAGCACGGCATTGAACAGCTCTACCTGTCATTTATTAAATTACCAGTGGTTTTATAGCTCAAAAATACCTAAAAAAAATAAATAAATAAAAAGCATTCTGACTGTGAGCAGGGTTGCCTCTCCACAGATCTGACCTGTAGCTTGGTCTGGTCTAGTTCCCATGAAGACAGAAAGGTTTAATCCATACTGTGAAACATTCCAGACAAAGCAATAACATCTCCATGGAGAAAAGCATTCGACAGAGCCTCCACCAGAAATGCACCTTTAAGGAAATAAATGATTTTTAATTAATTGCATGACAGTCTAATTTGTAAAATCACTAATAAAATTGTTTGTTGGTTTGCTTGTGCAGGAGCTGAATATTGACGTTTGTGATGTGGAGAGTTTGCTGGTGCAGTGTATCTTGGATAAGTAAGTCATACTTGTGTTTCGTGATAATAAGTTGCAGGCTGTTACGGGAACAAGCTAAAGTTCCTCATAGTTTACTGTGTTCAGTCATGAACTAAACCTGACAGTAGCATGCCAGACTTTATCATTACTCCTTATTTGAAAGTAGCAGGAATGTTGTCGCAAAGCACGTTACTGTTAATATTTTTATTGTTTTAGCTACACAGACTTATCTCGTATATGTTATTTTGAGGGGGGGAAAAAACAAATATCCAAACAATTAAATGCAAAATACCACATTTCACAGTTTCCTTAAATTGTTCAAGTGTAACTGTGAATTGCTTAGTTATGTTCTCCTACAAATATCTCACTCAAGGACTATTTAGTGTTTAGTTTTCTGGTTGATGTATTAAAGAGGAGCTCAAATTGGTAAATCATCTTGGCAGGAACATTTTCCTAAAGAATAAAGAGAGAATTAGGATTGTTTTTGTATGTTTTTATTCCATGGGCCAAACGTCTATAGAGATACTATAGAAAAAACAATATTAAAAAGTAAACTAAAGAGCCTCTTGAGTTTGATCAACCAAAACCAGATTTTAGCGTTTTCAATTTTCTTGTCGGTGTGTTGTCTGTTTGGTTTGTTTTTGGCTTTTTCCACTGGATTTAAAAGTTTGCTCAGACCCCTCTGTTCTTACTCTGCAGCACCATCCATGGCAGAATCGATCAGGTCAACCAACTCCTGGAGCTGGACTACCAGAAGAGAGGAGGCGCGCGCTACACAGCTTTAGACAAATGGACAAATCAGCTGAACTCTCTCAACCAAGCCATTGTCAGCAAGCTCACATGATCGACGGCATGCACACACGAAATAATGCAAAACACAACCAGGAGCCCAGGACACCGTGTTCGAATACATCGATTTAAAGCGCTTCTTCAAGTTATCCCCTCTCAGAGAAGTGGTACACAGGTTTGAGAATGCGACGTGAAGAAGACTACGAACCTCAAAAACACGTTCTGAGTATGTTTTGAGAGGAAGTCACCGGCACTTATTTTCGTTTTCATGTTATTTTTCCGATTGGCCGATCAGTTATGTGCAGCACACGAATGCTTCAAATGTTTAAGATATGTGTATAACTTGTACACAGTATTTTCATGTATACTGTTGCCTGTTGGTAATAAACAGATCCTCTCTCAAAGCACTCAAAGAACCAACTGCCTCTGACTAGTCACAGGGTCGAAAGGTCATTAAAGTTCAGTTTTTATTTGTTTTTGTCCATTTTTAATTGAATAAAAATGAAAATGCTCAAATATATGTTTAATTAATAGTTTTGAAGTAACGTTATATCCACCAAAACATTTTACATTCAACAACAAACAAGTCACGTTTTGTAACATGTCTACAGTTTGAGCTTCTAAATAACGTGAATAACTTTTGCCACCAACTTGTCTCCATGTCTTTGCCTGGTATGTTGCACAGTATGACATTAAGCATGTCTGTTTCCATGGTAACAGGTAAGTAACTCCACTAGGCCAAGTTACAGGTCAGGTCTGTGGAGATGTTACGCTGCTCACAGTATGAATACATGTTTTTCGTTTAACTTAGGAGCAGTAAAAACACCTGTAATTAGATTTAAGTTTAATGTCATGCTGTGGAACATTCAAGGCAAAGCAATGTCATCTCTATGGAGACGAGCAAGCGGCAAACCCTCCACCCCAAAAGTCACACAGTGCAGCTTTAGAGTTTAGAAAAGAGTACTGCTTGGTTTACAAAAGTTATCCTAACAGCCAGACAAGTCAGGCTTGAATGGTTAACCAGTTTGTTGAATGTCACAAACCCAAAGATCATGCCACAAAGCAAAATGGTAATTAAAGGATTTGCATCATGCCATTCAACAATCTAATTGTTTCATCTAGTTTCAGTACAGAGCAACATGATACTTGCTATAAAATGTTAACAAAATTATTTAATGTAGTTGGGTTCATATGATGGAGAGGCAGTTTCTTGTTAAACATTTGATAATTTCTAGACAGGGAAATACATTTATGAAATGAATGCACTGAATAGCATTTATCTTCAAATAAAGTACATTTTAATATGCTCTAGATCAGACCTGTACAGCTCTCGGTCCACATACGGCGCTTTGGTTGACTCTGACTGCCCCGTTCAATCGAATTTGGAATAAACATATATAGTTTTACCTCATGCTTGGACTTAAGCTGAAATTGCTTTTATTTTAGAAGTTTTTTTAAAATGGCATTTTTTTGTAAGGCAACCTCACTTTTTCATTGCTTAATCATAACATATACTCTTACCAGTCTGACCAGCTTGTCAAAACAATGCTATTTACTGCCCCATGAAAAAAAATAATTGCCCACTCTTGCTCTAGATATTACATTAAGGAAGTAAGAATATTTTTGTTCATTCAGTCATAGAAGATGTGGATGTGAAAGTAGATTTTGGACACTGTGCATTCCAGTAACTTGCTAATCATCCCCAGTTTTCTTTATTATTTGTTAAACTCTTATTATAGATATTTTTGAAGGCACCAGTCTAAAACAAGACACATTAAAGATGCACTATATAACTTTTTCTGAGGTTCAGTTCATCTATCCCCATGATGACAAGCAGGTGACTCCACTCGGCAAAGTTACAGGTCAGATCTGCGGAGATTCGAGTCCACTCACAATAAGAATGTATGTTTTTTCAAAGTATTTTGTTTTTGATCAAATATACACTAGTTGTTAAATTAATACAGAAGTAATTACCTGGCCTGCTTTGAAAAAAAAAAATTACAAAGACAACTACAGGATGCAAAAGGGACTGGTTAGTCAGACAACAGAAGTCAAGACAGATGTTTAATGCCATACTGTGTACCATTCTTGGCATAGCATTCCTACAGCAATAACATCTTAATTGGTGGTTTTCAGATTCTTGAATGTGATGATGGCACACTCCCAGATGGGGGGCAAGAGACAGATTTTTCCTATTCATGAAATATCTAAAAGGTGAATTCACAAATGTTGAACCTCACTGTATTACAACACTTTAAAACTACTCATTTTAGTTGTCCCCCCATCTCTATTTTTAAGAATGTTGGTCTATAGAATGTCCTAATGTCATCTGAAACCCAGAAATGTAGACAGCACGTCAGGTGGCAGACCCTCCATCGTAAATGTTTAGGGTGACCAGACGTCTCTATTTACCCGGGACAGTCTCAGTTTTGAGCCCTGTGTCCCCATCCCAGCAGGTTTATCCAAAACCAGTGATTTTCCCCAGTTTTATACAAGAAATATCCCAGGTGTTCCTATATTTGACCAGTTTTATCTAAAACACTAACTAAACTACATCAGGATAAACTAAGATTAAACCAGGACTACATCAGGTCTAAACCAGGACTATCACAATTTTTGACTAATCTGATCCCTGCTAACATTAAAGAGGAGCATAAATTGTCGTTTGTTTTGCCAAAATACTGATAATCTTGTTTGCAAATGACCATTAAGCAAATAGATGCAGCTTTAGAAATTCCCCAGATTATGACTGACTAGGGGTGTAAGGATATAATATCATCACTGTATGAACCTCATGGTACGATATTTATTGCAATATTGTGGGAAAGCTCATGATATGGTGGGGAGGCTCACGATTAGGAAAGTAACAATATCCAAATCTCTCCATGATATTTTCATGATATACATCTCATGGTATGATATTTATTGTATTATTTTGTTAAGGCTAAGAAAACTTTTAATATGCTACTTTTTCCTTTTAAAATGCCTTCACAAGACTTAATCCAAAGAACTAAGACTTAAAAGTGCTTAGAACTGTTATTTCTTCATGTAGTTTACACTGAAATGGAGCAAAGGATCATGGTCTATGTAGTTCCCTCTGTCTTTTTTGTTTTGTTTTGTTTTGTTTTGTTTTGCTATTGCTGCACCATAACTCTTAATTTAAGCAAAGAGAGTTGTAATTCGATATATTGTGATGGTCCATGATAATATTGTGAGAACTTTGACGATACGATATCACGATATTTCGGTTATTGTTTACATCCCTATGACTGATACGAGAAAGCACAGTCTGACACTCTTTTCACTTTTTTTTTTTTTTTTTTATTTATACCAAACATCCCAACCCAGGTGTGCCCCAGTGTGTCACCGTATAAATGTTACATAGTGGATCTTTAATTATTCGCGTAATGACGTCTTGCCGCTGGGGTGGTTTGGTCCTCGGCGGCCTCGGTTCCAGGTGACTCCCATTTCTCCACAGTGACAGCGGATCGTGCAGAGAGCAGCTCGGGCTGGAGGAGCTCTACCGAAGCGGACACAGCAGCGGTCCGGGCTAGGTACACGGCACCGGGGCACCAGGGCGTCGATCCCTCAGCGCCTTTAGACAATACCGACATCTAAAAATGACAGAATTACCCCGAAAAACCTCCTGACATCGCAGTCAAATGCTTACTCGTCGCGGCGTCGCTAAATGACATGGACGCAGGTGACAATAAGGTAATCTCACATTTTGTTGTTTTTGTTGGGTTTGTGCTTGACGTGATAACAGCGTAAGAAAATTGTTGTTACGTTGTGTTAATCCTGCGTTAAACTGCTTTTTTGATACTTTAATTCAACGCGATTTAAATGTCATTTGCAAAACAAGCCATGCAAACACACGATTGGTTTTGTGTTTTGAAGCTAGCGTTATCCGCTAATTGCAAACGCAGCTTAAAATTGAAAGGTGGTTTTAATTATTGACCATTTTGTGTCGCAGTACCTTCATTTTGAGCCCACGGTTGTTTTTCTTTTGTTGTAGTGTCTGGTTTCAGCCTTTAGTTTGACATGTGTTAATTAAACATGCATGTTTTGCGTTAGCTTGCGGTGCTAACTGAAGCTAGCTGTCACTAATGGACCCTTCTGCTTGACACTTGAATCAGGTGTGAACGAACAGATTTGAGTGATTTTAAGATGTTTTTACTGCTTTGTGTTTGCGTGAAAGGGCTTATCAATGCGACGGTGAGTGCACGTCAGGGTGGCTGTCAACAGAGAAAAGATAGGCATGTTTCGCAAAGACTCGGCGCTGGACAAGCTGGTTCTGCTGCATGTATGGCATTCCTCACGGTGTTACGCACAAAGTGGAGTTTGGTGCCCCGTGCTCTCATTCAACCCATTCAACATGCATGGTCTTGTGGTTATCTTGGCTGGACCCTTGGCCTTTCCAGATGTGAATGAGGTTTCCTGAGAAAAGTGACTAATACCGAGAAAAACATTATTATGAGTGCGTCAAAGCAAGAAGCCTAGAAGCAGTTTGTTGCCTTAGCCTATTTTTAACCTTCTTGTAGCAACAAGAATGAATTAGTGTGTCAAGTGTTGTTATCACTACACACAGTTGGTGAGTAAATAGTTTATATGTCTAATTTAAGTTTGTATGTTTACTAATTAGATCTGAAAGAAGTGAACTGATTAAAAGCAATTTATGAATCATGCCATGTATCAAGAACAGGTTTTAGGATTCAAAGTTGGAATTACTGAAATTAAGATTAGTGTTTTTGATGAAAAACAATTTTGTCTTTAATTATATTCCATCAGGATGTCCTCGAGTGGGATCACGTAAAGGTGCATTGTGTAACTTTTCTGGTGGAAGGTCCATCAGATACTTTTCTCCATAGAGATGTTAATGCTTTGTCTGGAATGTTTCACAGTATGGTACGTAGACTGTATATATGATGGACATAGCTAATGCACTAGCTGCCGTTTTCCTCATAGGAAGGTCCAAAAGTAACTGCTGCAGTGAGACTTGACATTTTGGTCTTAAAATGTTTTCTCCATTAAAAAAATCCTTTGTATAATATAGAACCTGGCTCTAAATTCGTCCCTGTAACTGCTGCATCACAAGCTTCATTTGAGTGCAGCTGAGCACTATCGTTGACGGGACACTCACTTAATCCACTTCTTAATACAGTCTGTGGTCTAGTATTAAACCTTCATGAAGACCAAACCTGGCCAAATTACAGGTCAGATTTGTGGAGAGGCAACCCTACTATGAAATCACCTCTAATGTATGTCGGTAGAGCTGTTTTAATGTCCTGTTGTGGAACATTCCAGAAAGATCAATCTATATATATCTGTAGACAGATTATTTGTTTATCAACACAGCAGATGCACGCGCAGCCTGAGTGCAGGAAGTGCCCTTGTCTGTGCGGTCAACATGAAGTTACAATACTAGTCAGCGCACTAAAACAGTTTATCACCGTGCGATAAAATAAATTATTATGCTAAATGAACATTAGTGAGTGGGATATGTCTTAATGACTCATAGGCGTTAAATGCAGAGCGTGTTAATGATGAAAACAAATGGCTCAAACTTCAGTAGCTGGACATCCACTCATACCTGATCGATTCAACTAGCCCTGCCCCCGAGAGAGCCTGAAATCTGCTGAAATCCTACAAGACACTGACGTTGAAACTTGACCGGGCAGCGGCTCTTTCTGCAGGAGACATGTGCAATAGAACACAAAGTGACATAGTCTGATAATCCCTCTATAGAAACAAGCAGGTGCCAGACCCCCAACCAAAAAGTTACACAGTGCACCTTTAAGGCTTCATCTGGGTCCAGTTTACTAAAAATATTTACAGGCCTTTCGCAATCTAAATTACTAAATAATTCATCAAAAGAATAATTGCTAGATTATCGCTAGGTTTGGTAAATGTAGAGCTTCAAAACCATTTTTACATCAAATATTGTAAAGTGTACAGTTGGTAATAAGGTAGTTGCGAATGTAGTGGTAAATTTGCTTATAATATCTTGTTCAATTACTTCCTTATTCGAATGCATGCAGACTTTCAGAGTAGCATTAGGAAGTAAAAACTGTACAGTGAAAACCCAGTGCTTTGATTCATTTGTGTTGTTTTGATGAGAGGCGCTAGTTTTAGGTGATGGTCGAGGCTGCACAAACAGACTGTGAGATAAGTGGACCACAGTCGCTTCTTTCACACATCTGCATCTGACCTCACTGCCCTCCCACAATCACTGCTATTCAACCACGACATGGGGAGAATTAGACCTGAATAGTCCATACCATGGATTTTGTCATTACAGTAATTCATTCATTCATTCATTAAGGGCAGTGTAACTGATTTTTACTGTCTTAAAAACATAAAAATCAGAATGAGTTCATTTCAAACGATTTGCAGTGGTCCAAAAGTTATTACTCACTTACCTTATGCATTTCAAGCATCCTAATTATTCACCGCAATGAGTCTATAAATGCTTTTCACAGCTTTGAGATACCAGAGTGGAATCACAGAAATTCTAACAACTAGTGGTGTAATGATATCGAAGTCTCACGATACGATATCGTCACAGTATGAACCTCACGGTACGATATCGTGGGAAGGCTCATAATTAGAGATGTAACAATATCCAAATCTCTTGGTATTATATTTTCCCATATACATCTCACAGTACGATATTTATTGCAATATTTTTGGAGGCTAAACTGTTAATATGATACTTTTTTCTCTAAAAATGCCTTCACAAGATTTAATCCAAAGAACTAAGACTCAAAAGTGCTTAGAACTGTTATTTCTTCATGTAGTCTACACTGAATTGGAGCTAAGGATCATGGTCTATATAGTTCCCTTTGTCTGCACCATAACTCTTAATTTAAGCAAAGAGACTTCAATAGTAATTCAATATATTGTGATGGTCCACGATATTATTGTGAGAACTTTGATGATACGATATCACAATATTTCAGTTATTGTTACATCTCTACTAACAACAGCTACTAGTATGCTAACACACACTTCCTGATTACCGCACAATACACTTTTTTCTAATTACATACAGACTGCACACAGATTACTTATTTTATTTTAACCTGAGCCAACCTGAGCAGCTTGAATTCCCAAAGACTCGTTGGTACGATCTTTGTAGAAGTTTTTTAGCGAGAATTCGAGATTTTCTTTAAGTCCATTTCCTTTAACATACCAGCTAGTATATCATTAGTGTATTGAAACTTTGCAGCTCACGTCATCAACATCCCCTGGGTTTGTTTGACTGTAGGCTCTGCTCTGTCTGAAGCTCTGTTACTCAAATTAGACTTTAATCTGATCTTTATTTGAACACAATCTGACCATAAAAGACTGCTTTACAACTACAACAGGCTTATAAAAGTCGCTCTCACATGAAAGTGTAGTCCCAAGCTAACTAGCACAGTTTTTCAGTCAGTCACTCTCACCTTTTTGTTCAAAATCAAACACCTAAAACAACCATGAACACTTATATTAATCACAGATTGCTGGAAATATGTTGTTTAAACCCATTTAGATGTTTTGAGTCGCTAATGTTTGCATATCACCATGGTAACAGATAAACATTCAACCATAGAAATACATAGAAACACCCCCAGTTGGCCGTTACTCAAAAGTATCTTGCCTTGTAGTTTTCAAAGGATAAAGATAACAAACATCCCGTTGTTAAGCAAAGTTTAGCTCTGGACAGTTCTGAGCGTGAACACTGCACATGCTCAGATATTTTTCTACCTCTTCTCTACAGTCTTTTGTCATGAATAAAAGGGAAGAGATAAGCCTGTCACCATAACAAAGTGCCGTTTTTAATATCACTTTAAACAATAATATGTAAACTACTATATCATGATCGCAGTTTCCCTAAAGCAAGATAATGTCTGCAAACCTTTTTCTCATCTGAATGGCCATGTAATAAATAAACAGCAAAAGGAAACTCATGCTTATATTGTTGTTTTATAACTACATGTGCTCATTATAGTCTAGTACAGTCTAGGGATGTAATTATATGATAGTATTATCAAAAGTCTCACAATATCATGTCTCTTTGCTTAAATTGATTTTTATGGTGCAGCAACAGCTTAAAAAAAGCCGCAAAAACTACATAGACCATGATCCTTTGCTCCATTTCAACACAGACAGCATGCAAGAAGTTATTAAGCACTTTTAAATCTTAGTTCTTTGGATGACGACAGAAACAATGGACTATCAAGGCATTAAAAAAAAAAAAAAAAAGTAGTAGTATAGTCGCGATTCAGTTAGTCTCCACAAAATATCGCAATAAATATTGTACCGTGAGATGCATGTCGTGAAAATATTGTATCAAGGGATTTGGATATTGTTACATTTCTAGTACAGTTCAGTCTGGTTTCTGTTGTAGGGAGTATTATACCTCTGATGATGTAGGCCAAGATAACAAGGACTGAAGTGGCAGTAGGTAGGGCTGGGCGATATGGATCAAAAAATATATCTCGATATATTTTGCTATATCTCGATATACGATATATATTTCGATATATGTTCAAGAAAAAATAACCCCCTAAAACTGAAAACTGCAAAAACAAATCTGCCAATTCCACAAGGTCTTTTTTTTAAATTGAAGTGTAAGAGGTCGGCAGTTCATATAGGAACACTTAAGATTACAAAAACCCTAATTACATAAATAATAATTTAACTGTAAAATAAAAGAAATAATACATATTTCC